GGATGACATAAAAGATGGGAAGCCATCCTCATATCAAGTTGTAAATTGCAGGAAGAAAATACATTGTAAATATAGGCTTTAAGACAGGATGAATGATAAAAACTTAAACAATAAGTTTTAAGATAACACCACAAAAAATTATGTAGAAAGCAGGAAAACATAAAATGCAGAAAAGAAAGAAGAAAAAGAGGTTTTTACTGTTTTACTAAAGTCAAAAACATAACATAATTATGTCCTGTGCAGGAAAAAGATTTAGTGAATTTAATTTTGTTGTTATTCCTAAAGAGCTCAGAAAGAGACTTCTGCCAATACCTGAGTGTCAGTATTTTCATCATCAATTCTTCCTGTTTCATAGAGCTGTGTTATGTACTGCCATTTGTTACTCAACCTCTGAAACACTACATATCAAAATAGCATGTAAACTATATGAATTTTCATTTAGCAGCATGCATAGGAATGCTTATTATATTAGGTAGTACAAATTTAAAAAATAACAAACATTCATTCAAAATAAATACAGGGTCTAATACTTTGTACTTACTATAAGGACAGAAGTGAGAGAGCACAGGTAACAGAACGGATTCATAATACGCAGGTGGACATGAACAAATAAACGGCTTGAGGAAAACTCTAACCACTGGTCTCAAGCGGTAGTCAGGAATAACCTACACAAAGTACCATGTTGTCATAGAGCAATCGGTATTTCCAAGTTCTAAATTCAAAGAGATAACTATGGTCACTTGTAATGTTTTCACAAAGCATTTGTAATTTAATTCATGTAAAATAAAGGAACAATAAAGAAGGAAAACTATGTTAAAATTAAGGCAGAAAAAAATACATGGTAACCACTATTTAGAAAAGAATTAAAATATTTTCTTTTAAAATAGAGACTTCAGATTCTCATTGACAATCTCATTGAAAGAATAATACGAATCCAAGAGTAAAATTTTATATTTACCTCCAAGTTAGAGAAAACAGTGGAAATAAGAGAAGCAGCGAGCCCAGGAAGGCCATAGAAATCACGCCCCAGACTTGGTCCAGCATTCCCAAGAATGTGATAAGAGTAGTCATGGCACAATGTAAGAAAATGCTGCATGCGATCCAGGGGAGTCTGATTTCGAGGCCGTGTTATGTCCAAATGATCAGCAGGCAGAGGGCTTCCCACACCAAGAAGATTTGTTCGATCGACAACCAGCATAGCATGGGCTGCTTTGTAACCCTATGAAACAATTAAAGAATCTCAACAGCAAATCAAATAGTGTTTCTTCTGCAGCACATACTTTCTCATACGTTTATCAGTTACATATTATGGTACTAGCTGAAGGCATGTGAGACTTTTGCACAATTTAACTAAATTTCATAGAGGAATATTTGCACAAGTTTATCTTGTATTTATTAAGCAAAACTCATTCAATATCACAACAATAAACAATCATTTTTACGCTATATAGAAATACAACAAGCTGCATTATTTCAATGAATTATGTAACTATCATATTAAAGAAAAGAGAAGATGAAATGTCGGATATAACAAATATAAGAACTTGAACAACATATTTTCAACTCTAAAAACTTATGGGAATTACATAAAGGCACGGCTTGATTTCTGGTGAAACGTGACAGAAAGGTGTTCAGGTACCTCATGAATAATTATTAAGTGATATTATAAATATACAGCTATTTCTATTAAATTAATAATTAATTTGGTGCGTGTTCTGGAACCTAAAATTTTATAGATTAAGTACTACATAAAGTTACACAAATGCCAACAGCTGTTACAATGATCTTCCTAAAAATGGCCACAAAATAAGTCATGATTTATTGAAAGCATCATCTTATCAAGTTTATCCATAAATAGATTATATGATCTCCATAAGTAGATTATATAAACAGAATTTCCCCTACTCACATCTGATAATAAAGCCAAAGCATCTGGGGTCCACAGGGCATTAAATACTCGCAACAACTGCAGGAGGTTGGGCAAAAGAGGCATGATATGCGGTGTGGCTGGGTTGCGACACACTGGATTTCCTGTTTCAGTACGAGAAACCACAAATCCACCTCGGGATGCACGGTCTGGGTCATCTGGCCATGCACACCTCTTAACGACAGCCATGAAAAGATTCACACAGAACGTAATGTGTGCTCTGTTTTGCCCTGAAAGTAAAAGAGAAAATCTACTCTAGAAACACACACTTTTCATTCTAAACACAAACACCTCTCTGAAATAAAATCTATTTTTCATCACTTTCATTTTTGTAGGATTCAACACAAATGTATAATGTTTTAAAATGCCAAATCGTCAGGCTCATCACGTTCATAATCTCTGCCAGCACAATTACATTCTAATTTGAAATACATTCTTCAAATAACATGTTCCAAATAACTATTCTTGAGCCATACGTTATTGCAGGGAAATGACAGGATAACAGAAATGAAATGTGGGCGATGATATAAGGTGATGAAGGGAACCACGTTTTGTTCTGAAAGTTAACAATATATGAAGTAAACACATGAGCAGGAAAAAATTATACCATTTAATTTTAAAATTGCATCAATTTATTACTCCATTTACAAAACGTATTCAACTGTGAATGTACTTATTTGTTGTTCTTGTGTGTATTCTCTATTAATTTTTTTAAATAATATGCTTTTAATTGAAAAAGTGTTTGTACAGTATTTTAAAGATCTAATATACTAACACCTTTAGGTACTTTTAATGTCAAGTTGAGATTTTCTATTCTTAATGTAACAAAAATAACCACTGATAAAAATAATAACATCTACAATGTGATAATGCTTGATTAGCCCCTTTCATTTGAATGAATTCAGCACTTCATACCAGCACTGATAGTCTAAATAGATTTATTAAAACTCTTATGTCATAATAACACTCCTTTTTGAAGACAAAACAAATACATTTAACATTACAATCTTAACTAGAGTATTAATGCAAAATTTTCATTCAACATGTACGTTATGTGTTATGTCATATGAAATGGAAAACTGTTTTGTATTAGTCATAAAAAAATTTTAATGTTACACATTTAATACATTATAATGAAACAAGAACTTTCGCATTATTCAGTTAAAATCTTGTGGTGCAAAAACTATCCTCATTTCATTGTGATGTCCATATCAAACTTCATTCATGAATAATTTTGAAGTATTTTATTAAACAAATTGAATAGAAAACTGTTAAGTAATCATTATCGCACTATGTCTATTAGTTTCGACCTTAGTGACCTACTAAACATTGAATTTAATATAGGTGTTGTGGTGTGTTATCATTATCGTTGGCATTTTCCATGAAATAATTAAAGACGTCATTGCCAACAATATTTCCAACAATATAACAATATTGTTGGCAATGACGTCTTTAATTATTTCATTGAATTTAATCTTTTAAATCCTCTGTGATTGCTTTTAATATTTTCAATTCCCATTTAACATGCTATGATGCCAAAACACCCTGCTGATGCTTGGTAACTCAGCACTAGCCCTACAAGCTACCTTACTCATCAAGTGACTGGTGATATCACTGCTCAGGAGTTTGTAGATGTATTCAATGTTCGCAAGGACTATAAACTGTGATGGTAACCAACAGTCTCTGAATTTATGGCTACAGCAGGAGAAGTTTTATGTTGAACTGCTGGAGGCATTATTTTAATAGTGGTTCAAATCTCCTTTTTAAAGAAATTGAGTTAACTCCATTTTGAGGTTTATGCAAGTATTATACATTTATTCTGAAAGTGATAGAACTCAAAGTTATTCTTGTTGACGATACAGAACATCACGATAAATGTGAATCATAGGAGAGTCTATTCATTTTCATAGTGATGCAACTACATGTGTGTCCATAGTGGTTCAGCAACATTATTTTCTTCAAGTCTCATGCAAAGTGATTTTTAAGATATTTATAGCATCTGCAGTGGTATGATGATAAAGAGCATGATCCAGATTTGGTAATCGAAACAAGAAAAATAATATAATTATATCCCACTTTTTTATTGAAAGACATTTTTAAAAAATGGTACGCGTGTTTAAAAGACCTTCAAAAGTTTGCAACAAGAAGGAAGACAAATGAACAAAATGGTGTCTGCAACTGGCTAAATATGGATGGATTAATTTGTCAATCAGAAGTCTTTTATAATTACTCGTATATACAAGTAAACCTTAAATTAAGACATTGTTATCCTCACAGTAAACTTACAAACCACTAGTGGATGAGGAAGAAGTAAGGTTTTCAAAAACTCTAAATATCCCACTTCTTCAACCACAGCAAAGGAATGTAAATGAGAAGAAAGAAGATAGGCTTGATTTGTTTCCATTCATTACAAGTCATTAATCAGGATTATTTCACTGATCTGCAGGTAGGAACCAGATGATTTCAAGAAGGTGAAAAAAACTGAATGTGCCTCAACAATAACATTAATTTAATGTTTAATCCATTTCAATAAATCAATACTGTCTTCATTTCCAAATTTTCTTAGAGTGGCAAAGCGTACAGTATGCTTATTAATATCATCTTCAGACGAACAAGTAAATATAAGAGAAAAACACATAATTTTTTGTCTAAATCCATCCCCAATTTTTGTACAGTCATTTAACTTTAGAACTCAATATCTTGAAACGAGTGTCAATTGAGTTGTACCTCTATTAAAATAATGCATCCATATTGCAAACATTCTCACTCTCATATTAGCAAAAACCTTTCTTGAGTAGTATTACATTTTCTAGTAGATGTTGACAGAAAAATGCAAATCTTTGATTGTGTTATTCTGTCTAATCTCATGTATTGCAATCCAACTAAATTCTTATACTCAATTGCTCAATGTGTCACTGCTTTTGACACAGAGGACTAGATGCAACAACGCTACAAGGAAGAGGCTGACCATCATTTAATATTTGCTATTCACATGCTGCTTTATGGAACAGCAACTTTTTTAAAATTTCTTTTATTGGGTCGCATGAACAGTAAGTTCATTAGTAACAAAAATCAAAAAGAATATATATCCAGAAACACTACCAGTATGAAATTTATATTAATGGAATCATTAGAATAAACCAGAAGCAGACCTAATTGAAGACTCTTTTAAATTATAGAAACTATGCATGGCATTGTAATATGATTTTAAATGGCAAAAAAAAGATTTTCATAGTTAAGGCAAGAACTTTTCATTATGATAATCTTCAATTATAATGTTTTGTCTATCATTATCAATCAGTTAAAATCATCATATCTGTATCCTGAGAGATAAGCAAGCAGATCCTGTAAGTGATGTCCACTGACTTTATATATTAATGGTTACTGGTATACTAATTTAGTGTACTAGTAATCTATTTGTGTACATATTCCAAATCCACACATTCACTGATTGTTGGCAATGTCCTCTGAACTTAGTGCCATATTACAGAAGAGTGATGCTCAACTTTTTATTCCAATGTTTATTTTGCAAAACGGTGAACATGCATGTCTCTCTGCCTTTAATGTCTTATAATTTCGCACATAATAACAGTATGTATTGTTGGTACGAAAATTAGATGAACATATTGCATTGTATATAATGTTTTTCCTCTTTTGCCTGTTTTTATTATTTAAACTGTAATATACACATTCTAATGTGATTAAACTCATCCCTACTCTACTAGTTCTGCAACAAGCAGAGTGCTAAGTAATGCAAAAATCTATGTAGTATTAACGTCATGATTTACTTCTTTCTGTCTCTATGTAGAATTCATACTATAAAGCATTCTCAGACACTGAACCACAGATTTCACTCTAGAGATGACAATTTTCTAATATATAAAATTACACTGATATAACAAAGTCTTATATTTAATAAATCCAAATATACAAATGTATCAACGTAAATATAAAGAACATCAAGCACATTAATGAGCACTATATTTAGAAAATAAATATAATGAAAAAGCACTAACCATTTAAATCATTGCTGCTGGGTTCAACTGGAGGCCTGTCAAGGCCCACAAAAGCCATAAATTCTCGAGGGCCCATAAATGCTTCTGATCCCATCGATAGCCACTGGGAAGCTCCAGAGCCAATTACTTCCTCAACAAATTTTGTCTGGCGCTCATAATCACAGAAATGATTACTTATAAGCAGAAGAGCTTCCTGAAAAAGCACAAGTGTAATGACAATGTATTATAACTATAATATAATAGAGCTGACCACAATGGTTGCAGTCGCTAAGGCAGTAGTGCTGAAATGAGCATGATTCGTGAGGTCGCAGGTTTTAGTCCTGTAGAAGAATTTCCATACTTGGGATGTGATATGATTAGCCTTTCCACTACTCGTGCATCACCTTTTCTTAAGTATCCTGTCTATCCTGGTCATTACAGTACCTACCATGAGGCAGGAAACCATCACAATCCGGGTTGACCAGCCTCCTAGGTCCTTCAGTGTTTGTGGTGTGGGGTTCATTCACAGTACCTCGTGTATCACCCTAGTTGGTAATTTAGGTGTGTATCTGTGTGTATTTGTGTGTTCGTGTGCATGCGTGCAATAGTGCACTTCTCAATAAATTCAATTCTTTTATAACTAAATCCGTTCATGATATTCTTCATGATCACTGGTTGACAAGGATACAGAAGTTCAGATCAGAGAATAGTACCTACGGAAAGTGCTACCACTGTCTCATGAAGAGGTCTAGGTTTTCATCAAATTGATGTTCATTTGAGCCTAAATGTCATTTGATTGAGGCATGGAAAAAAAAAATCTGCTAGGGATGACAAGGATTTTCCTACCTTTAAGGACAGAGCTTAACCACATGAACTAACAGGGTTTCAAAATCTGTGTTGTAAATTGGACAATTTTTAAAAGAAAGTAAAATTCTTTTAATTTGGAAAATTATTTTTATATGACTCTAGGGTATCATTTCGATTCACCTAAAATACTAAAGAATGAGTAAAATGGAAATGAGAAAACCATACAAATAGTTCTACTTCATATCTAATTAAGTTGCAACTCTTGCAATAATAATAATAATAATAATAATAATAATAATAATAATAATAATAATAATAATAATAATGAGCAAGAAATTTGAATAATGAACCGAAAACCAGAAAACTGCTTATATTGCATCACCCACCCTCGAGCTGATGTACATTGTCTTTATGTGTCATGTATAGGTGGAGGTACAGGCCTCGGACAAATTGAAGCCTACTGGCACAATCCAATAACCAGAATGGGAAAGTATGTAGTCAGTCATTGAGGTGACCCACTAATGAGGCTTGTCATTAAATCTGACCGAAGAATGGGAAACAGGCATTGTAAGTGTAGCAAGAAGCAAAACGAAGAAAACTCTGCAAGAAGCAGAGTCTGTCTTGCAGAGAACTGCAAGACTGACACTGAATTTCTGATACTACTTCACGTGATTGTAAGTAGCAAAACACCACTGCATGGACAAGGTGCAGATCAATAAAGATCTATCATATATGTGGCTTAAAAGGGGAAGAATGAAGCCAGAATCAGAAACAGTTGTAATAGCTGCCCAAGATCAAGCCTTGAGAACACGACAATGTTAAATTTGATTGATTGTTTTAGGATTTTGGGCATGTCAACTTCCAAAGTAATTAGTTCCATACATGTAATGCATATTTTTTGCTCAATAAGTGGCAGTGATATTTTCCCCACTGTGTGGGGAGATCCAGCGCCGACCTACTGCAGGCTAGCAGGGTTTCCCCAACCAGGTATCTCCAACCAGCAGAGCACCGTCCCAGCTGGGACAAGCTCTAAGCACCCGACTGGTCTCCTGGCATGTGTAGTGCATGCTAGTGGAAGTGTGAGTGTATGAAAGGGGAGAGGACAAGGAAGAGGTAAGAAAGATTGCACACGGTCCGTAGCCCATTTGTTAGGGTACTGCTCTGGCATTCGCCTGGTATTGTTTGGAGAAACCTTGGAAAACTACCGATTAGAGCAGCCAGCCGCTAGAATTCTCCTTCAGGCAGCAACTGAATTCGACCTAGCTAAGAAGCTAGTGATAAAAAACCTGCCACTGTTGGACTCAAACCTAGGACCTTCCGATCAGAAGGACTACAGTGACATCAGTTGATGCCCTGAGCAGACTTATGCATGAATTCATATTTAGTAGAACTCTCTTAATAAAATATAGTAGGGACTTGAAAATTTAATTTACTAAAAAAACCTTAAAAATGTTGAAGTTTTTGCTTTTCTTAGTGTTTATTTACATTATGTACATAAACAGAAAATTAAACTTTCTTGAAAAAACTGTCCATTGCAGTTTGCCTACATTGTTTTATTTGTATTTCGAGGAAAAATTTGGATTTCTCTTATATCTTCTGGAATGTTGCTCAGGCTTGACAAGGTCACAGCATATTTTGAAACTTCAGCAGATGAGGGTATTCTAGGTTCTTCTCCTCGTTCTAATATTTTTGCAGTAATTTCTTCAAAAATCTGTGTGATATTTCTAATTTCACATGGCTGTCCATCTTCATTCAAATAAACATTCTTCACAGGGTGGCTGTTGTCATTCAAATAAACTTCAAACATGTGACGTGATGCAATTGTTAGTTGCTTCGGAGCCTTTTCCCATGAGACACTAAGCACTTCATTATCAGTATCTGTCATAGCAACTGGGAATCCTACTTTTCCAAAAACATTTTTCAAAAAAAATTCCCATTTATAAATTAGTGTTTACGGAAGCAACAAACTTTTTCCATAAATTTCGTTTAAAATAGGAGGATAAGGATTTAAAATAGGATAAATTTGGAGAATAAATGTGACTGCTTTTAGAAATTAGACTGCCTGTAGACTGCGGGCGTTGTTGTGAATATGAATGTGGTAGAAGATCTTTTATTATTGCAATACACACTCGGGTAGTGATGTTTTGGAAATAATTTTTTTTTGTTATAAAATATGTCGAAAAAATAGTGCTTGTTGTTAAGTGATGGAGTGTGATCACAGTTTTTAAAATCAGTGTTCTTTTTTGTTTTGTATGAATTCTATTACTGTCAAGTGCCTCAATGTATAACTAATACAAAAACTTGGGTGCCCATTGGAAATCAAAGCCAGAACTATGTGCGCAGGATGTGAATATTCCTGACATGGACACTGTGCATAAAAATATGAAAATAGTATTTCAATATAGATTTTTATTTAACTTTGTTTTAATTAATTTACATGAATTGCTTAGATTTTATTATATTCTTGCATTTTTGCTATTTTATTAGTATTCCGCATTTTGGAAATTACATTTCCGTCATTCGATGGAGCTGTAACCACCAGTTTGTTTGGGCACCAGTCGCCACTTTGACTGAGCACAAAGTCCTTCAATTGACTATGCTTCCTATGCTTCCTATGCTTCCTATGCTTATATTTGGAACTAGAGAAAGGCTCCACTTCACTAAAATATCAAAATATTTCTAATTCCTAACTACATTTTATTAACTTAAGTAAAACTCTAAATCAGAAATGAAAAATTAGTTTTTATAACGTGGAATATTTTATTTACCGGGTTTCAAATGAACTGTTTATAGGGCATCAAATTTAGGACAGTTAATTGTTATTTTATTGGCAGAGAAAATTTATGAAAAAAGATTTTATTAAATGGGTTCTACTGCATCTCAATATTCCATTGACATGAATTTATAATACATCCAAGCATTAATTCTTGTTTCAATTCAATTATAAAATAAAATACTTCATAACACATTTTTGTTTTATACACACCTGAAGAGTAACCCTTTCCATTTTTGACAACTGGCCAGGATCACTATTTAGACTCTGCACAGTTGCATGAATTCGCTCAAAAACTGGTAACAGCAATAATGGATACTTTTGACCTATTTTCACCATTAAGCTAGCTGCATGTCTCCGAACATTTTTTACTGCTCGGCTACGGCTTTCCTTGGTCTGTCCAGGTTCACTAAACACCAAGGCTGCAAATATCTTGTCTAAAACTCTAGGTAATAATGAAGCAGAGCTCTCAGCTGGAGACATACTCAGAAACACAAAAAGAGCTGATATGCAGGATAAAAGAGTTGACAGTAAAAGAGGATCCACAGGCTCGTATGTAAGGCACAGGTCAAGAAGACGTAATCCAGAGCCAACACTTGGGCGTTCTGTTGAGAGCAAAATGCGACTCAGTATGCTCTCCAACACCTAAAGGAAAAAGGGAAAAAAAATCCTTACATTACTTCAACTAAATAGTTTCCAGTCCTTAGCGAACCCTTAAACTTATGACTCAACTTCAACACAAACTTACGACTCAAAATATAAAAAGTATATTAAAAACCTCCAAGAAATTAAATTCAATAATTTAATTGAAACACCCAAAAAAACAAATTTATTGATATTCAGTCTTAGTCTTGATATAACCTTTTTACCTGAGAGAGTGCTTCCCATTCAAGAAATGTTGGATGTAATAAATTACATTCAATAGATAATTCTGCCATTGATTTTTGAATGCGAATCGTCAGCCACTCTTCGACATATGCAAATGTGACTAAAGGAGCAACAAGAGTTGCCTGCCGAAACGCATCCAACATATCACTACGGCATCGATGAAAGTAAGCAGCAAATTCTTCTTCACTATCATAATCTATTACAGTGTAGGCTGCTGTATCTGATATGGCTCCACTTCGGACAGATGGGTAGCTCACCTGCGAAGCAATTTGCTCACAATGAAACTTATACTAAATACAAATGATTTCAGAAAGTCAATAATGTAACTCACTTGCAACAACACTTTTCTAACAAGATTTTAACTTAATCTCAATGAACATTCACTCAGTTAATAATTTTTAAACTAAAGAAAAAAGAAAAGAAAATTTCAAAACTTTTGAAACCTCACCTTAATTATTTTTGGAGCAGTGCTTTGCACCCATTTAGGAATAAATGTCAAGAAAACATGATCCTTGGAAATTTGATCATGTTTGAAAAATGCCATCCACAAAGAATTAGCATAATGAGATAGCGTTAAACTAGGATGACGTGTAAACGCCAAAATTACTTCTAGATAATCAGAAAAACATGGAGGTCGAACTGATACTCCTTCATCCTTTCCCCAAAGTGTACATAGCTGAGTACCAAGACCAGTAAGAAGCTGAAATTGTAACATATTACACAAGTTTGAAGAACATCAGAAGGTACATTTCAATTTCACACAACACAGAAACTAAGCTTCAAGAGAATTTCATCCTCTCTTTAATTCATCATTCTATAAGATTCACAATTCCCTGAGTTTCTTGAGACAAAATAAATGTCTTACCTGACACAATTTTTTTAAGAAGCAATATTTACGCTCATCAACCACTCCATTTGATGTATCCCCAACAGCTTTAAAAACACACTGCATTGCATCTTCACTGAATAATACTAATAGTGGCTTCCTTTCCTCAACCTTGCCTTTTCGCATGACTATCTATGAAAAGTTCATAAGACCAATTACATTTTCAATAAAAAATATATATATAAGAACATTTTAGATATGCAAACAAATAAAAAATACCTGAAGTAAGCATTCAGCTGCTTCCATTTGAAAACTCTCCTGGTCTAGAAGAAGGTACAAAATCTGCAGTAAGTGGCCATCATCAGCCATAATGTGTTGGATTGAGACCCATTCCACAAATCCCGTAAGAGTCAATAGCACTACCTACAAATTCATACATATACTCATTAACACATACATAATGCACAATACACTATTGAAAGAGTTTAAATTTAACACAACATTAAAAGAAATAAGAGCTAGTGATAGATTTCAAAATGGATGTGGTAAATTAGTGTTCGGTCATGGTGTAATGACAATACTGCTAGTGAAAGTCAATGGATGAGGAGTTTTATAAACCTTAAAGGTTTAAAAGTAATGAAAAATAAAATGGTACCAACATTATCATGTACAAAACAAATGGTACTAATACAGCACATACTTTCTTGCCATTAGTAATGGTTATGTAATACTATTTATACCAAAATTTCTCTCCGAATTAACACCTCTCAGTCACATCTTTTGTAAAACTCATTTGAAATCATAGAACTATTGGTGGAGAAAATAAGCAATATACGAGAAAGTAAAATAATAAAAAGTTAATAAATAATAGGCTACTAATAGCATTGGCAAATAAATGCAATTAGATTGAAGAATATATAATAGTAATTATTAAACACTATTATATTGTCATATTCTACAAATATATAAAAGTATTAAATTATATAACCACAACCGCAAGTCAGCCTTCATTTTCGCCTTGTATCAGTGTGCTGTTACCATAATGGGTTACAATTACCAACAATAACCACTCTCTCGTTTTCACATTTAACACAAAGGATGCAATTTAACCTTTCAGCTGGTATGGAATTTGTAGACTGCAATTTCCTTTCTCTTCTAAATGCAGTATCCCCTAACTGGACCGACTGGATTTTCCTTTCCATTCGCAGTAAGCTGTCTCAGGACGGAAGGGACCTTTACCTGTCTTTCTTCTCATTTGTGATGTGCTGTCTACAGACGCTTGTCTCTTGTGGGTGCCATGCACAGCCAAGAGTGTGTTAGGGCAAGTTTTCGGTTTCTTTGCGTGTGGTTTTTGATATAAGTATTTTAATATCCATTGAAGTGTTTCTATTTCTTTGTGGATGTTTTTTAAAGAAACAATTAATTTAAAATATATTGTCTATATACTACGTATCGTATGAAATTATTGCGACAGTCAGGCATACTATAAATAAAATGACAGGAATTGCCTTAAATTTAATACAGTCATGGCTTAAATAAGGGCCACACTTTATGGATGTACAATTACTACAACTCCCCATCACAGTTGCGATGTTAAAAGATTGGGAACAGATTGTGTAGGAACATTACGTTTGAACAGAAAAAATGTTCCTAAGATATTGCAGGAAAAGAAATGGGAGAGAGGTGAGTGCAGCGCCCAACACTTACGCCCTGTTTCAGTGTTGAAATGGATGGATAAAAAGGCTTCTATGATACCTACCACAAGGTTGAATTGAAAACAGTCATTACAAATATAACAGAAGAAATTAAAAATCCTGCATGCATTTTAATAAATAATAAATATATGGAAGGGGTAGATCTGAAAGATCAGTACTTGTAAATAGATCTTATTGAAAGGAATAAAAGCAAGAAATGGAGAATGAAAATGTTCAGAAGATTATTAAAAGTCACTGTGTAGAAACCATTTATTATTTGGAAAAAGAATCACACTGGGACAAGAATCTGATATTTCGTATTGATCTGGTCGAGCAATTGTTATCTGCTCATTCACAAGACAAAAGAGCAGTGTGTGAACGTCGTTTGTTGAGTGATTTACATCACATGTCAGGAAGCCACATTCTTGAGAGAATTCCACCTCAAGGAGACAAAAATAAATAACTGAAACGATGTGTGATATGTCATAAGAATGGGAGACATGGAGAGCCTACATTCTGGTGCCCAGATGGAAATGTGGACTTTTCCTTACACTTGTTTTAAAAGCTATCATAACATTGAAAACTAGTGTATTATATCCGCATGTTTTCTTGAGCCCTGGAATATCTACCCTCACTCCTTTCCCAACATTAGCTGAATTAAGAATAAATGATAGCAACAAGCATTGTAGACAAAATATGGTAACGGTAAATGTTTGCTCCTGTGTATTAGAAACTACTTTGCTTTGAAAAGTGAACTACAAATGTGAAGTAAAATTCCTTTTGTCAAAATAACCAAACTCCACACTCCTCTCGCATCTAGTGAACCAAGGGCTCAAGAAAACGTGCATGGATAATACTTTATTTTTAATTATGTTATACTCTTAAAAAACATTGATGTAAATGAATGAAAGTGTTGTAGATTTGTTTTAATTTTCCATTTCCTCAAAGTCATTATTATTTAATAATCATTGTTCATGATATTATTGGAGACGTGAAGCAACGCATTTTCAGGAAAGAGCATGTTTTCAGAGTTGGGAAGCACAACGCCGCCCCAGCTAATAATCTCCCGCAGCAGGCCTCACTGGATGTGTTCAGCTTGCTACCTGCCCCTGGAGTGCCGCTGACCGCACCTTTCATTTAAAGCTGCCTTGAAATTCTACCTTGCTCAGCACTGCATTGAAGGGTTAAAATGGAATAATATAAATATAATAAATAATAATAATAAAATGAAATATGAAATAATATACAAACCCTAACTTTCGCAGCATTCAACAAATGCTCCAACGTAGGAAAACAACAAAGAAATATGAAATAATATACACATTTTAACTTACATAGCATCCAACTGCCTCACAACACCTCTAAAATTACGATCACAAAGCGCAGGATTTTCAGAGCAAGACACTAACTTTGACGTTAAATTCCTCAAAAAATACTAATATTTTTGAAAAATTCAACTTCACCTTATTTGAAGATCTGTTTTCGATGAACACATTTCATTAAGAAAAAAATTGTATCATCATAATCGTAGTTGTAGGAAGACGATGAAAAAATTTTGGAACTTTTGAAAAATCAGTGTTTTAAACCAACATGAGACCTCTTGTTGGTTCACTTAAACAATAAGACCCTTCAGACTATCCAACAACAAAATTTAATCAAAATCGATAGCTCCATTTTTTTGAAAATTTCGAATATCTCCCAACTACTTAATGTAAAGTCCCCCCCCCAAAAAATTAAAATATTGTAAAGTACACCCCCCCCCAAAAAAAATTAAAATTCAGGGGAACATAACATCAGCCAAAAATGATGGGGATTATCAATTTTGGAGAAAATCGGCTGAAAAGTTTAACCGCTAGTGTTGTTCACAAGCAGACAGAGGCAGACACACACATATTTTGGCGTCAATCGATTTTTGGGTATCAATGACCTAATATGGATTCTGACCACACCATGTGTTAGACGATGTTTTTCTAAATTTAGCAACTCGATTTTTCCACTTTTTTGTCACCAGGGCCCTTCCAATAACAGTTTTTTATCAAAAATTCGCAGCTTTACACAACTTTCTCTTCATGCAGCATTACACAACTTTCTCTTCTGAAGAAGTTCCTTCTTAAGTGCAAGAATGTAAAATATTGACACAAAATTGAATTTGCCAGCCCAATAAACATTACAAACGCATAACCCAGCATTTCTTACACCTTTAAACTAAAAACTATTAACGAGCTGAAATAGATCCAGGGTTGCTCCAATAAAAAGTCCTCACAAAAAGAGACTGCAGTGTAGTAATTCTCTAATACTTATTTATGGATTATTAAGTTACATATTACAATTATTTATTATTATTATTATTATTATTATATTATTATTATTATTATTATTATTATTATTATTATTATTATTATTATTATTATTATATTTATTATTATGATGGATTATTAAGTTTTTGTAAGGATTTTGATTTTTTAAAGTTTAAAATATTTAATTTATTGTTTGTAGAAGTACTTTACTTATTGTCTTGAGCAGTGTATGTGTTCCTATTTTGGAAAACCATTTTGTGTGGTTTTGTTCAGCAACATTTTTGCTGCTGAAGCACACTAGTTTCTTCTATACATATTTTCCAATAATCACCTATGTATAAAAGACACTATTAAAATTATTAAAACAGACAACAGTTTTACTTTTTCATACTTCTAATAATTTTTTTCTTTAATTTAAGCCATTTTAAAATCTTCATAAACCTACAATTCTTTTAAAATACAACATACTTAGTGCAGTTGAAAATTAATTCAATATACTATTCCTTATCAAACACTAAAGCAACAAATCATTTTACAGGATATTGGTGTAATAACAAAGTAACAGCTCTAACAAAGCACCTATAAATTTTCAATTAGCAATAAAAGTATACAGTGAATCCACAATTCTATTAAAATAAAACATTCCAAGTACAATTCAAAATGAATTCAGTATCTCAGCGTATATTTCTTATCAAACTGCAAAGCAACAAATCATTTTACAGGAAATTGGGGTAATAACAACTGAGAAAGCACCACTAAATTTTCAATTAGCAATAAAAGTATGCATTGAATGCAGATAATGGTAAAAATTTCCTTGACCTACACATTAAGAAAAAATTCCTTCCAAAGCAAAAAATTTACTTTCTTGCTACTACTTACACTGTTTAGAAATAATATTGTAATGCTGTGGGAAAAAACGGTGACTTTTTGACAGAAAAACTCTCATTGCCAGAACCTGGTAACGAAAAAGCAGATACATTTCATCCCTATATATAGTAAATTACTTCCTCTAACGTGTTATCATCATAATCCATGTTTTGTGGGTCCTTAATTATGAAAAACTGATTGACAACCAAACATCTACTCATCTATCTGTCCTCATGTCTGTGAACAATGCTAGCGGCTAAATCGTACGATGGGTTTTCACTGAAACTGACATTCCTTCATCGATCTGGTTGATGTTGAGGCTTTTTGAATTTGAAACAGATCATTTAATTCTGATGGATACTTAACATGAAGTCCCTGGGCCATTTTCAAAAGTTTGAAAACAAATGGCACTAAAATGCTTGATTAAATTTTGTTGTTGGATAGTGTAATAGAGGATTAATAAACAATGGTGGAAGTCTCATTATCGTTAAAATCCTTCATTTTTCGAAAATTGCAATAATTCAAAATATTTTTGGCACCATTCTACAACTAAATTATTGTACAGATTTTTTCTAACTGAAATCTGTTCTCTGCAATGCTCGGATGGAATTAAATGTTCTAACAAAAAAGAAATCTGGATTAATAATCACAAAGAATACAAACTAATTTTGAATAATCAAAGAAATATTTTGCTAGTGGTTTCAAAGTGGATAAAATATACATTTAATCCACCCTCCTAAGTTGTCATACCTCCTTTCGGCACGATTAACCTTGTAAGACAGAGAATTTAATTTTTTTTATTTTAAATCAATGACCCTAATCTGGAAATTACATTACCTGCACCACTCTTGCATTTGCTGCAGCTTCTTGAAACTGCCCAGCAGCAATTTTAGTTTTATGTTTATTGCAGTGATCTTGAATAAGAGAAAGGAAAAAACTGAATATTTCTTCCATGTTGCTTGTCAAAGCCTGATAAATATCCTTTCGCCTTTGATTTGACTCCAAAGTCTAAACAAAATATTAGATTAAAAGTTTTCCAACAAGAGAAGTTCAATACACATTCAATAAAAGGCTTCAAAATTGACATGCCTGAAGAAGGGCCACATCTTCCACCAGCCGTAAAAATACAAAGCATACTAGCTCTGTCTGGCTTTCCCCACGCATACATGCATTATTGAGTTCTGCAAGCAAACTTGGCCATTGCTGAGGCCACTCTCGTTTGATCATTTCCACAACAACCCGAGACATAGCATCTTTCATGTGATTGTGCTCCTGAAGAGATGGCTCAATACCATTACATAGAAGTTTCATTGCATTTTCCTGTAATAAAAAAAGTTATTTACTGGACAAGAAACAAACCTAAATTCACTGAACAATATACATAAACTTTTGTGGAAAATTGTTGACAGGAAGAGTTTGATAAAACATCAGAACATCAAGGGAAGTGAGAAGTTTTGAGTACAGTTTACAAAAGGAAGTGGTACAGAGCAAACCTACACAACATAAATCATTAGCAAAAGCAATGAGACAAGAATAATTCTCATTTTAAAGTTTTTCTGTATGGTTTTGCAATCAAGCCAAATTAAGCAGTGCAGCAATCACTTAGATCTAATTTTACAAATATAATGATGGATATAACAAAAATGTTTTTAAGAAATTTTATTTAATTATAATTATATTCTGAATACAAACTCTATGTAAAATTTAAAAAACAATCACTCTTGAGTTCCTGACCAGTGTAAAAACAGTTCGCTATAAATCTCAATAATCCTGATACTCATATTCTTTTATCCATTTTCACCTGATTCCAATGCTTAATAAGAATGACACAGAATGGAGACACATGTCGATTAAAATTTGAATTGGGTTAATTACAATAAACCACGCGAAGTGACTCAGGGCAAAGTGCACTTCACATTCAGGAGGCCCGGATTCAATCCCTGTGTCAGCCACACGGACAGGTGAGAGCATAGGCTTCTGTGGCCAGAGTCAGTATTTACTTGGCTATCTGGGAGATACCACATCCAGGGTTCAGGTGCCAACATTTCGGTCGCCATTCTGCAACCTTCATGAGGGTGTAGTTTTTGCAATAACTGACGGGGTTTTCATGGTTTACCTTGGTAGTTATTGCAATAACTACGCCCTGATGAAGGTCATAAAATGGCGACCGAAATGTTGGCATCTGTGCCCTATCTATCCGGCGTCTCCCGGATAGATAAGTAAATCCTGACCGGTTTTCGTAGTTTCCCTCGGTCACCGGCAAATGCTGGGATGGTTCTACTGAAAGGCCACGACCAAAAAAGGCATCACTAACCGAATTTGTTTACTATGAGAAGTCACAAAGGTTAATTTGAGACATCGCAGTGGTGACTGACTAGGATCGCCAGAATCTAACAGCAGCGAGGCTAATTGCCCTTTACTGGACATATTATGGCTAAAAACAAATTACAATTACAAAATTGAATTAATAATTTTTAAGAAATATTTGAAGATTAATTTCTACTGGCAAGTTGTTCCAGCAGACACCACAAATCCTTTGAATGATACATTCAATACATACAGAAATATAAATAGAATTATGACTCTGCAGAAAAGAGCACTAAGAAGCTTCTTCAAATTAAAACCAACCCAAACTTGTAGGAACTATTGCACTGAAGTTATGAATGCGTAGGCTTCCGCGGCCAGAGTTTGTATTGTCTAGGCTATCTGGACAATACATGAGCCCCATCTCTGCTGTGGTGGCTGATATTTTGGCCAACATGTTGTGGCCTTCAACAGAGGCTTCTGCTGAGAAAGGTCACAATGTATTGGCACAAACGACGAAAAAAGACAGCTCATCCCAGATAGCCTAGATAATACAATATTGAACCAAACAAAGTTCTGATGGCAATAGTACTTGACTCATTCAGGATAATCATTCTGTTAAGAAATAATAGTACATTTACCATCTCTAAAAATAATGAACTATACAAATACAATACCCACAGACATAAGAACTACCACAGGATGTTCAAGTCTGAAGTAGCAACAAAGATACTTTATACAGTGCAATAATAATGTTCAATAAACTGTCAAATGGAAATTGCTTCAAAATTAAATTAAATGTCTACCTTATTTTGGCATGCCGTCATAAAATTATTATTAGCTGAAGTGGGCACAGATGTGCATTTTATTTGCAATCAATTTGTTTAGTTCTGAGCTAGTTTTCCAGTGCTTCTGTGTATACTGGTTGATTGTCTTTCTCCTCTCCCTGTACCATTGAATGAATTATCATTCGTAGGTGTGGTCATATTTTATAGACTCATGTCGGTCGGTTCAAGGAATCGTTCTTGTTTGCATATCATATGGTGGAAACCATGTGTTGCTAGACTTGTGACTACATGTCATATTTCGTGAATTGCAGTCCAATTTTGGTTTGTCATTGCCTCGGTTGCATAAAATTCTGCCAAATTTTGCTTCTTTTCATTTTTATGATGCATTTTAGTTTTGTTGTTACCGTCATCTCCGGGAGAAGGAACTGTTCCTCAATAATTAGAATGTTTTCCCTTTCTAGGATGTAGACTAATCTGTATGCCCTTATAAAATTATGGATTTGATAGATTAGATTAAGTCTGTGATTAATTTACAAAGAACATTGTATACTTTATGTAAATATAACACTAGACTAAGTACTTATATTGATATTTATTACTAGAAATACAGACTATATTTTGACGTATTTTATACTGTATTGACACACCTGGAAACCTCCCTTGTACAAGTTCATGAGCTAATAAAATTATATTATTATTACATTCTTAATGAAAAAATTAGAGAAGGAAAAAGAACAAAAAGGCAAGTATGTTCTGATAAGATTTCAACTGTTGACATGAAACATTTGCAATAACATAAGTAATAATACCTTAATAAATAGTTTTTCTTGTTGCGACATTTGATTCCAACGATATTTCACACAATGTTCCATTAACTGCAAACCAAAATGTCGCACAAAATGGGACATTGTACTACACTGAGCCAAATAGAAACCACATTGAGCACAGAGAGGGGAAGTTTCCTTAAAACGTTCGCAAGCAGTATACGCATCCATCCGCTGTTGTTGGGGTACAGCTGGGTCCATTGTTAACTCAACAGCTCGAGCTAAATCAGCTGCTACAACAGCTATGTCAGCTTCCATGGTCTAAACACAAGAAAAAAATTATTATTCTTTGTGAAACAGTGGTTCTTCACTCATTTCATAAATCTTTTTATTATTTAAAATATCTCAATACAAAGAACTTCAGTAACATTCCAGTGCATTTGATTATAAAAGCCACATTTTATGCAGCATTTCTTCACAAAAGCATTAACAAACTATTTTAGACATTGATGTTTTTAAATGGTAAATTGCATGTGCTGCTGTCATAATGTACACAGATGACACATGAAATACGCTAACGCAATATAATTAATTACTTTGAAACTATCTTAATTACACAATTGGTAACATTAAATTAGAAGCAATAAATCTACAAAGATGGGACGAAAAATTAGTACATGATTTTTACCTCAAAACTGTGTACGTCGTAAAATATAAAAATTCAACGGCAAGAAAAATTTGCTAGGTCCATGAAACATAAAATCAGGGATGAATTCAAGGTTTTTATCATCCAACGTGTCACTGCATCTGGGGAATATCATGTAATCATAAAAATGCGTAAGATATTTCAATATCCTCAACCACTCAACTAAATATAAGCACAAAAGGGAGCGAAAGCTAATCACCGTGCAATGTTTTGGTCACATCTCCATTTGTTTTCAGCAATTCCGCCGGTACTACCTGGACACTACCGGCACAACTGCAGGCGATGCGCTGGCTCAATGTTGATGCTGGAAGCGAGGCTTCTAACAATTACTTTGAACTCCTTATGATAACGGACCGCGTATACTGCAGTGAAATACACTTTATCATAAATACAGCTTTTTAATCAGTACCCACTTATATCACCAAAAGAGTTTGTAATTCTAGCAATATTATGAGAATGCAACATGTACAATATTTGACAGTTGGTGCTCACCAGTTAATAAGGTTTACCAATAGAAGGAAATGTATGACAGTTTATGGATATGTAGATAATTTTGCAAGGGTAGTTTGTAGCTCAAATTAATCAATTACGTCATCCGAAATCACATAAATACAGTACGCAATACTATGAAGGTAACCACTACACATTATTTCCATAAAACTACCATCTGGGAGTCGACCGGTGTGAACCATGTGACTCCTGCGCGTTCCTGTGTTTGCATTATTTACAATTAAAAAAACAGTTGTTTAGAAACAACTGGATTTGCAGTGAAAAGTATGATAGAATACATTTTAAAACTGCAGGGTATTTTCACGATATTCCTTCATTTTAATTTATTGAGACAATAAATATATATACATTACGCTGAATGAAGTTTTGATTGCTCGCGCGTGCGTTGGTACGTTGAATCTTCTTCTGTACCTATCTGGCCATCAGACCGGTGTTTTGGCAGGGTCGAGGTTATGTTTTTTTTTCAAAACTCATGTTTCGTTATGTAATTAATTAAATATTAGAGTTTTGATTAAGTCTCATAATTTGTAAATTGCAATTATACCGTTTATGTGAAGCTCGGTTTGTGGAAGTCGACCACTAGTCAAAGAAAGAGGAACGAAACAAGCCCGCGAATTTTGTATTGTACTGTTTGTTGCTGCAAAGTACTCGTCGAAAATATGGACACTCCCGCTGCTACACCACTGTTTGTAGAATTTAAGGATCAAGTTTTGTTTGCGGAGTTTTCGCCGTACGAGTGGTCCCCAAATTTAATTTGTATTGCTTTTCATAATAATATTTCAGTGGGGAGGATAAAATTCCAGGTGTGGTTCCTAACTTAACAAGACGTACTTAAAATGTTTATATCACGAATGAGGTATTTAAAGTATGTATGCTCTGTCCAGGAGGAAGATGATGAAATGGAAGAAGAAATAGATTTTCAGGTATTGCACAAATTTTTCCATGAAGTCAGACCTGATTGTCTTGCATGGAATCCAGAATCATCTATAAGTACATTGCCAAAACATGTAAGCTTTTGTACTGGAGGAGCTGATTATCAGTTACGCCTCTTTGAAAGTGACCTATCCAACAACCATTCCATCCAAGTAAGATTTTGACTTTTACTTGCTTTTTGTTTCTTAATTAACTCAAAATTATAGACTTGTGTCAATGAAAACCTTACAAGGCCTAAATAAATATTTAATCATTATGCACATTTAACCTTTATTCTCATTTTCAGGTCCTAGAAGGGCATACATACTACATCAATAGCATTGCGTATGACATGGACGGGGAGTACCTTGCTTCAGGTAGTGATGATTCTACATGCAGATTGTGGGCAATAAAAGACAAATATTCATGCTTTGCTGTTATGAATTTTCGTACTGCAGGTCAGATCATATAATAAGTTTGTGTTGGAAAAAATTTGAAAGAAAGGAGATTTATATTTTAAAATTCTCTTTTATCAGTGGTTTCAGTATGTTTTCATCAAGAAGAGCCTGGAAAACTAATGGTAGCTCTAAAGAAAGGGAAAATAATTCAAGTTAATGTAAATACCCAACAAAGGATTATGACTTTTGATTGTGGAACTGAACCCCTTTTATCAGCAGATTGGTCACCAAGCAATAGTTTGTGTGTTGTGGCAGTTGCTGAACAGGAACTAACATGGTGGGACACTTCAAAATCTAGAAATCCAGTTGAGTCACGAATGATTCATACCACTAATGCTTGTGCTGTGCGTTGCTGCCCCTTGAGCGATACCTATGTTGCTACATTTGGAGAACCAGATCATCAACTCAAAGTGTTGAGTCTCAATTCTAATGTGCCGCAATTAATAGCAAATTTACAGGTAAGAATATCACCACAATCTTTGAAAGATGTAATAAAATGAAGTGAACTGGAGTAGAAGTTAAATCTGATGATCACTGATTAATCACTCGATAATCAAATGTAAGTTATGACACTGATTACTGACTTCAAAATATGATTGCCTCTAATCATGTGTATATTCAAAAAGGTAAATATTATAATAGATTTTTGGCTTTGATTAAAGGTTAGGAATAGTGCAATGTGGGTACAACAACATACTGGCGATCGTAATTTCTATTAGTTCTAAGGAGAATGTGGATTTTTGATCATGATTCTTATAATTGACAAAAACCATTTTCCTTTGTTTTTTAAGAATGTCATGCACACAGATCATAAAAAGAGCTCAATTCATATTGTAGCTCTAAATTCTCTGGTTTCCCAAAATTTCAATCTTCCAATCCAAGGGTTAGGGTCCATATTTTTTGTAACATTAATTTATTTCATAATAATGCAATGGTTTCGGAAATTGTTGTCCCTATCATCAGGCTGAAAAATTGAATGTTGAAATTATATAGTACAAAAATTAAAACTATTTACATTAGAATATTAAAATGGAGAAATTATGTCAAGAAGAACATACCAGACACATGAGAGCTCACAAAAGAGATGGTTTTTACATTAACATTCTACAGCTGATATCAATGAACTTGATTATCAAACATTTGACAAATCTATTAATGAACTTGATTTTGTCCGTCTATTGACAGCTAGCTGTAGAATGTTGATGTAAGAACCATCAGTTTTGTGAGCTTTCCTGTGTTTGGTATGTTCTTCTTGACATAATTTCTCCATTTTAATATTCTAATGTAAATAGTTTTAAAATTAGTACTATATAATTTCAACATCTAATTTTACAACATGATGAGGGGGACGACAATCACCAGAACCGTTGCACGATTAGGAAATAAATTAATGTTATAAAAATTCGTCTGTCAAAAAATATGAACGCTAACCTCTCACAAAATCATACTTAAGTTTCTTATTAATTTTTCAAAATTAGGTTTTGTTTTATTAATTTTCTTAGTTCCTCTCTTTTATTTTTATTTTTTGTTTGTTAGAAAAGATAAATAATGGAAAACAATTGTAAGAATGATATTAAAAGCTACTGTAATTTAAAAAATGAACGAATAACGTATAAACACGCACAACAAAAACATATTCAAGCTTGGGAAGTAATGTTGATTAGTTCAGTTTTTGAAAAGCACTAGAAACAATATTTATGTGTGGTAATGGTTCTTTGAAAAGACATTTCAATTAATTCTATTTCCATATCACGTTTAGCCAATACTTTGTGAGACGGATCGTCATCAATTGATTGAAATATTGGTTCTCATATTGATAGAGATTCTGACAGTTTCAATAGGCACTTTTGCATCTTACAGCTTTCTGAACCTTGTAGTGTGTAAGTAGATGATAAACAATCAACACCCTTCAATGTAGAATCACACAGCAAACTGTCTCTTGTATATGGATGGTAGACTTTTTGTGTTTAGTGACGCACAAGTGTCATTGCGCCGTAGAGGAACGTGGTAAATCTGCGCATTATGATGTAGTACCAAATAGCTTGTTTCCAAAATCTGCTGTCTGAATTTAAAACATGGGAACTGCATCATGTAGTTGCTGTATTAAATGTAGTTTTACATTACAAATAATATTTAATGTTATTACTGGGGGGGCAGATTTTGATGACCTAAAAAAATTGTCAAAATGATTAATAAAATGCTTAAAAAATGCCCTGAAAGCAAAGAAAAATGCCGTAAAAAAATTTGATCAAAACCGCTACAGATGAACAACTCAAGTTGATGGATATCTTACTGAAGGAATCAAGTCTTCTTCCTTTTGTGAACTCAACTTGCAAACGTTAGGTTTGGGCTCTTCTTTAAAAGAAAATCTCTGCCTTTATTTATCGCAAAATCAACCTGACCTGACAATGGCACCGTTAAACGCCACAGAAACATAGTTCTTACAATGGCTGACATTACAATATATGAGCGAAAAAATCAAATAGGCTACTTAAGAATTCTGTGGTGCACCTCATAAATATTGTTTGAAGCACATACCATTAAAATTATATTAAAGTTGATGAAATCAGCAAAAAAAATGATGTGAAAGAGTAAAAAATGACTTTAATGGAAATCGAAAAATGCAAAAAAAAAAATTAGTCATTTTGTTTTGTCGCGTCACAAAATGAATTTCTGTACTAAACAGCACTGTTCTAAAGTGAATTGAAGAAATTGAAGTAATTGAAGAAAAAAAATGACATTTCATTAAAATCCACCCTCTAGTTATAACAAATAACTACTGTTTTGTTTATAAAATATTATTTTTAGTTTTAGCGCTAATGTGTTCAATATTCATATCACAATAGATTATAATTTAATAATAATTATATATATTACAATTTTGTTTTCCATTAGTTATCTTTTCTAATAAACATAAAATAAAAACAAAATAGAAAAAAAACACATGAAAACTGATAAAACAAAATCTAATTTTGCCGATCTGGTGGCCAAGATCGCTAAGGCAGTAGTGCCGTAGCGATCTCGGACCAGAGGATTCGAGTCCAACCTCGGGCATGATTGTATTGTGTTCGTCCTTTCACCCCTTATCACCATCATATCGTGCCATCTTCACATTTACCATACCATTACATGCAATAGTGGTCGATAATGACCTAGAAGTTGATGCAACTTTAAATAAAAAAAAACGAAAGATCTAATTCTAAGAAATTAAGCAAACTATTAAATTACTGTTTATTTATATTGATGTGTTGGGTGCAAATTTTAAGATAAAAGGTTGAAACGTTGGGAAACTCAAAGAACTACAGCACTATAATTTATAGTTAGCCCTTTTTATGATGTCAATATGAGATTTTCTTAAAAAAGAAGGAAAAAAATTAACTTTCCTTCTCCCCCCCCCCCCCCCCCC